TCCAAGTGTGGTGAGGTATAATGTTGTAGAAGGCATTCTGCTCTACTCCTTTTGTTAAAGGACTCCTCAATGACCGAACCGCCCTGGATAAAGGCATCAACCACCTCCATCCATTCAATTTTCTAACTGCTTTATCCAACACGAGGTTTATCGCCCTTCTCCACACCTCGCAACCTTCGCTCTTCTAATTCTGCTCTCCTTACTGTCCCCCCAGCCCGTCTACGTTGTACGGGTGACAGGGCCTTCTCCTGTTATGCCCCCAAGCTCTGGAACTCTCTCCCCAAAGATATCAGAGTCACCTTCTCTAAACTCCTTCAAATCCAGACTCGAAACCCTCTTCTTCAGAAAAGCCTTTACTTAACTGGTTCCATTCTTCACCCCTCTGCTTTTCTTAGTACCACCATCCACGGTCTCCTCTCCATATTGTAATTGTGTTTTATCTTGCGTATTCTTTTTATTTATTGTTGCTCTCATTCTGTAAAGCGCTTTGAGAAGGCACTATATAAAATAAACTTTATTATTATTATACGAGTGGGGTGCGCCCTTTGTTACGGTATTAATAAGAGCAGTGCAGATGGAAGAGGAGGCTCCACTCACCCGTAGAAGGTCAACCGCAGGTACCCGATCCTGTCGCTCAGCCTCGCCACCTGGCCTTGCTCTGCTGGCGCGCCCTTCAGATACACGATGCCCACCCTGCGCAGGGTGGTCAGCCAGGAGTAGGCGGCCTTGTCATCGCTCAGGACCTCCTCGAAGCTGGCGGTGGGGATACGCAACTCTGATCCCCAGTACTGCTTGTCTACAAGGAAGGGAAGGGGAAGGAGGGGGGGGAGGAGATAAAGAATTAAAAAAAAACAATTGGGTTCAATCCCAGAAGCCTCAGCCCAGAGTTACATCTGCGACGGCCCTCTAGGAAATACAGACGCAGGCAAACAAATGAGTTGATGAATTCGTGTCAACTCCAGTCGCAAAACCCTCTAGAGAATTGTGAAAGAAAATAAACTCTCTGGCATCCGAAAGCAGTTTTCTTCTTAATTGGAATATGTTGCTTAATCCCTCCAGTAGTCTGAATGGAAAACAAAAGCATGTCTTGACAGCTCAGACATTCACACTACATCAGGAAACATACGTTAGAGATGATGTCATCTGGCGAAGGCAACTGGCTTTCTCTCTCCTGTTGCAAAGCCCAAATAAGCAGTCAGCAGATCTTTACTTGTGTTCAATTAGTTTGTCTCTCTTGCATGGAGCTTGAATTCACCATACACAAGTGGGTCTTCACACACCTCAGGACAGGAGAGGGCCACAGAGCTCACACTGACAGCTGCCCAACACCACAGCTGGGCTCCCTTTAAAATTTTTTTCCTGCGGACGCACTTGCAGAGGGGCACTTGAGACACAGCTGCAAAGCACATTTGACTCTTGCTGGCTTCGAATACCATGTGGATGGCTGATGTTTTTGCTACCGAATGTTCCTGTGTTTTTCAAATTAAAAATAAGGCTCAATGTTTCTCCTCGGAGGCCTGGAAGAACATTCACCTGTGCCTCAGAATGCAAGTGTAAGCCAAGATCAGCAGATGGGGAAACCCAAAGCAACTCATCACCACAGCACAAAAACTACAATTGCATTGGACGTCCTTAAAACATATAGTCATGATGCACCCCCTTGCGGTAAAAGTTCTTTAAAGAAATCAGAAATAATTTGTTCTACATCTACCAGCAATCAATCTGTGATCTCTCTGAAGCTCCGGGAACAGGTGTCCCAGAGCAGTCCTGCAGTCTTGTGGAGCTACGTTTGGTCTGTTCCGGCTGTAGTTCACTGTGCCCTTCCAATCCATTCAGAGATCCTCGCAATGATTTTCAACAACTGCAGCGGAAAGAGCTCATCAATGATGAAACACCAGGCTGAAGAGTGCGCTGTGCCATCAAAAGAGAAAGAATTCCTTTGGATCCTTCAGTTCACAGATAGAGGAGATTCTCTGTTCAATTAGATACTACCACATGAGCTAGATGGGTCCAATAGCTTCCACTTGTTTGTAACCTTGAGTACGTTATTAAAACAGCACTGCGCGATCAAGAAGCTTGATGTCGCATCGTCCCAGTTAAAAGTGTAAAAAATAAACAGGAACAAGTAATACTTGGTCTCTGCCTCATTTCTAGTGAGTATAAAGGTAGAAAAAAAGTTGAATCTGAATATTTGCTCATACACTAAATTGTACATATTCAAATTAGGATATTGAGGTGCTTCATCGGAGCAAATTAACAATGGATCTAGAGTCTTCGCTTAATCAGCTGATGTCCTGAAGGGTCTATAGATAACATTCTCCAAGGAGAAGAAGAGGACAACCTTGTCCTGGCCTACTGCTCCTCAAGGATTACAGTCCAGGAGGGTAAAGAGGTCTCTTTTTATCACCAAATGCAGAAGGCCTTTGACCTTAACTGTTCCAATGAAGTCAATTAAATGACTCAGTGAAGAAATCATCTGGAAAGACAACCGGAAGGACAATCCAGCTCCTAAGGACTGGAGTTTTGCACCACCCCTTTACTCCACAGGAGGTTTATGAAGGTCGGACAAAGCCCTCAGGTTTGTGGAGCTGCACACAGCCTTGGCACTGACAGCCCGGCCACGGGGACGAGGCCATGGGAACACCCTCAGCCGAGAAGCGGCAGCAGCGGAGATGGGGGGGGTGGGGGGCGTAGGAGGGGTACGAGTCTTACCCACGTTTACAACTGCATGGACCAGACTGACGGACTGGGCCTCTTGATCTCCAACCTCTGCTTCTGACACTCCATCAACTGTACGAGACCGGGATGGAGATCGCCGAAGCAGGACCTGCATTTAAAGCCCACTTGAGAGGAAGAGTCCTGGGATCTACTGCAGAACCGCAGACCACGCAGTGGAAACTGCTGGAGTACTAGCACGATCCACACCTATCAACCACCGGCTTGTTTATTTCAGCACTTTCTTTTCAAAACCTGAGCTCTCTGCTTGATGTTTATGAACCGCAGCGGTGCAAAACTCCAGTCCTCAAGAGCTAGACTGTCTACCGGTTTCCATTCCCCATGATCTTTTCACCAAGTAATTTACGTTCACTGGATCTGATAAGATGGCGAGACATTTTTGCTCTTAAAATACGACAAGGCAGAACGATCTCAGCTAAAATCCTAAAAACTAAATCTAAAAACATATCCCAAAGTTATTTTCCTCCATATTGCTACAACATACTGTCACATTTAAAAATAATTTAATCTTCTCTGTGGCTCTCTCTTTCTAAAGATGCTTAGGCAGAGATCCCTCAAGGACTGAAATGGCTATCATGCAATATCTAAGTGTAGGAAACTTGGCTCTTTGTCATTAATACCATATTTTTCACTAAGCTGTATGGCTGCTGACTGTGCTGTTGATGTTGAAGTGGCTGTCTGAGCCACAGAGCCCTAATTTAAACGACTCAGATTTCTCCCAACAGCTATTCTCTCATTAAGTTGGTGTTCTGACCACTAGTTGACCTTGTCAATGGTTAATCTCCTTCTTCTGAGATTTTTTTTTGATTTTATATGAAATTTCTACACGTCAACAAGGTCTAACAATTCTGAGCATATCCAGAAAAAATATCAGCATACCTGTGTACCTATAATCTTTATGAACTGTATAAGCACTTCAATTACCAGCAGAAGCCAACCTCACAGAGGTTGCTAGCAAAGGAGAGGAATTAATTTAACAGTATTATTTATTTGAGATGCGTCTACACACACAGCCAGCCTCTTTTAACTTCTTACACCCCAGATCAGGGCAGAACTGAAGCCAGAAAAAATAGATATCTCATATTTTGGAAACGCACACATTCAAGGTTTTATTAGAGTATTATCCTCCCATTTTGTGCCTAAGTGGGGTGAGAAAACGCACTTCTAGCAGAATGCTACACCGGAGAGCAAATGTTCCTCATTAAAGTTCAATTATAGTTTCAGTTGCCCTCTCCTTCTTGAAAAATGGCTCTATGACATCATTCGAGCCTTGAGAGTATTAAGTTTTCTAAAAATGTAAAACCTACTTCTCTCTTTCTTTCTTTTGTAATTTGTAAGTCCACCTCCTAATGCTCTAATGACAAAAGAAACTGGAGAGAACCGGTAACTGCAAAGGGGCTGTGAATTAGCTTTTTTCCTTCCCTTATGTTTTGTTTCTATTTCACAGAGAATTTTGCAATAATAAAAACACAACTTGCAAGAACGGGTAAGAAAAGGAGAAACATAAGATACCTGCGATCAAAGGTAAATGTTCGACTTGCCTTGCGATTGGGTACTGGAACACACACACACAAAACACATTTCTGAATGGAAGGACCAGTTCCTAAAAGCGACTGGATCCCTGGGTCCTAATGGCAACACCTTCTCACTACAAGCAATGCCGATGCCCTGGGGCTGTTTTCCATGTCATCTTGGAATGATGTTATGTACTTAATCAAATTCATATTGAGATCATTCAAGACATCATACAGTAAAATGCAGCTGAAAAAGCCAGGATTTGCATTTTTGTCTTTTTTTTCCCAGCATTCCAAAACATGGGTTATCCAGTTGTTCCTCCAACTTCTTTTGATTAAGCTTGCAGGCTTTAACAGTACATGCACACATACTGCGAAAGCCAGATTCCCAGATGCTTGCAGGTCGAGTGTAAGGCACGCCAAGGGGCTGCAGGTTATTGTGTGCTCCTCATTCACTTATTGGGAACTGGAGCTCGACCCTGCAGTGATTAAACACTCCTGAGAGAAGGCATGACCTCATTCATGGCAAGCACCCACCATGCACTGCACATGAGCGAAACCTACCGCAGACGACACTGTCTTTCTGGCGTCCCTGGCACTGGCATTAGATTGTCATGATACTGGTATGAGAGAAACTGTAACAATCAGTCTTCTGCAACACTACCAGCCTAAGCTATAGATCCTTTCCGAGGAGCGATACCACACTGCCTGCAAGCTTTGCTTTCTTACAGTACATTCTGGTGAGACTTGACCGATCTCCTTTCAGGTCCTTTGTGAGCGCTCCTGCTCCAACAGCCCCCTTCCCCGCATTTTTGCAATGACATCACCACTGAAAAACAAGATAAAGAGCCACTAAAAAGCCTCGAATTCTATTTCTGTGTGAAACAAGAAGCCCAAGATGCGCATCTCTAAATATAAACAAAGCGAAAGGGGTGGAGGAAGAAAATTGGACTTTGAATGCATAGGCTTAGTGGTATCAAAATTGTAGGTTTACAAGGACACTAAAAACTGCCATGAAGAAACCCACAGTCTTGTGTCTGCCAAAGCAAATGAAATCATCTACCCAGTACACCACGGTCTAGGGCTTGGCTTGCCACAGAGCCATTCAGCAGCTTATTTTTGCATACCACACAGCCTTGGCAATCGAACTGCATGAAACTACAGCTTCAGCACATCATGCCGAGATCTGGCCCTCTGACGAGCATGATACCCAGCAGCCCCGTGACACTCCTGTCTGTCCCACTCGAGGCGACGCCCGCTTGGCTGCAGACGTCTCCATTGGAGAAAAACATAGGGGATGCTTACCGCCATACTCTGCAGCTGCAGGAATCTGTGTGCCTGAAAAAGCTGCCCGTTGAGTGTTGCCATTATTTCTTATTTATTGATTTGGCAGGCTGTGCAGACGGAGAACTGAACCTGGATCAAATCAGAACTCAAATCCAGCACTTGATGGCTTCCTGCTTCAACCCAATGGAAATCTGGCAGATGGATCAGGGGCTGCAATCTGCACATGGGTGCACTAAAGTTTTGATTTAACATGCGCCTTACAATGGCACATTTGTGATTCTCTGACAATACGAGTTCACCCCCCACACACTGGAAACTGAGCGCCTCGCTTTCTCCGAGACGCCACCCGTATCCTGCTAAGGTGCAGCACCAGGCTCAGACGAGCAGGGTCCAATACCGGGCTGGAGCATCACACTGTCTCCCCTGCCTGCCAGGTACTTTTAATCGGAGTGTAATTCAAGCTCACGGGACGATCCAAAGCAGCCCTCCTTCCCAACGCAGAAGAACAAGCGCAGCAGTGTTCAATCCTCTTCCTGTCAGCCAAGAACCTCTCCTACAAGAATTTGAAATGAACACTCGAAATAACGCAGGAGTTAATGCAGGGCTCCCCTCAAGTTCTCAATTGTACTATTTCACTGCCTTGCAAAAGTGGGGTTTGCTCCTGAAGCACGTCAATCTCCCAGGGATTTTGACTGTCCAACCCCCGGCCACTGCGCTCTGCAGGCATCCGGTTTAGAAAACTTTTATGAGGCAAAGAAACTTTTGTGCGGGTTCACATGAGGACCGTTAGTTCACAATATTGTCCTGATAAAAAAAAACTAGGTTTTCCCTTCTGTCCCATCATAAACAGCTGACTGTGCAAAGCCTCAGAACTCAACACACCTCTGCACTATGCACTTTTAACTTGGACTACTGTGTATTTTTTGTTCACTACCATGTATTTTTGGCTCTCTACCAGGTATTTATTGTGCTGGTTATTTACTGACTGTGCATACAATCACTATTTATCATGTACCGTTTTGTAATGTCTCGTCTAGAATAGATTGTGTGGTGTCGTCTGCTGTACTGTGCATGTCCCGAGAGGCCTGGACGAATTGCAAAGCTCACGGACATACGGCGATACACTCCTCTGCTGACTGCTCCAGCGCCCAGACGTGAAATGCGAGGCCCCTCTGTGGGAGGCAGCTATATTTCGGCCGAGTCGGGCTGCGGTCCCAGAGGAGACGGGGAACCTCCCGGGAGAGCAAGAGCGTGGGATCGGATTCAGCTCGGGACTGCGGGACACAGCCTCGGTACCCATCAGGAAATGCCTTCAAGAAAATCACAGGCTTATAGTGCCTATCAGGCTGCATTAATATTAGCTC